GCCCGACCCGTTCAACTTTGAAGACTTATTACTGGAAGCATGTGTATAAGAGATACAAATGGAGTCCGTTTGCTAAAAGTGTGTAATTACATGCACTAATTTCGGCTTAGGTACCACTTGTGAAACTCTATTTTTACGGCCTTCAAAAATTCCGAAATCGATCGGGCTTTTTTTCCCGCACCCTAGTTATCATGTTAAATTCTAAACAATAGATGCAAAGTAAGCGACTGTAATCGTGTCAGATATATGATCGAGCTAAATTAAATAATTGATTATATTAATGTATAAAAAAATAAAAATAAAAATAAAAAATAAAAAAAAAGTATAAATAAATAGCACTTATATTTCGTCTTGCTTTTTTATCTTCTTGCATTAAATCTCTTTATCTTGTCTTATATCGTCTTTTATCTATTTTCTCATTTTATATTCACTTTTTCTTGCTTTTTTTTTGAATTCTTTTTTGATGATGGAAGACTCTACACCATCTCCTAATGATACTGTTTCTAGTACCCCAATACTAAGCGAAACCGGAACAGAAATAGTCTGTGATACGTATTCTCATAATGATCACTGGAAAGCTATAACACTAAAAGATAATCAAAATCAAAGAGTTTGGAAATGCCAACATTGTGTAAAGACGTATTCAATAAATACAAGTAGAACACACTTAAAAGAACATACTACTTTGCGATGTCCTAAATCTCCACTATCTGATACTCAAATCAAAGCATTCCTGAAGATTACAAAAAATGAAATGGATAAGTCAATAGTTGACTTGGTTGTTAGTACAGGAATGTCCTTCAATATTCTTGATAGCTCATTGTTTCGTCAAGTGGCTAGAAATCTCCAATATGTAAAACATTCGTATAAAATTCCACATTCAACAACAATATCACGACATCTTACGGGTGATATATTCAATTTAAGATTTGACTTTATCAAGAATATACTTGCCAAGTCTCCTGGGCGAATTTCACTAACATGTGATGGGTGGCATTCAACCGTTCATAGGTGTCACTATATTGTTGTTACGGGGTCATGGATTAGCGATGATTGGAGAGTAGTTAATATAATTTTAAGTTTCCAAAAATCTGGGCAAACAGCAGATGATATATTATCAACAATAATAGCCACTTTAGAAGCATATTCTATCAAAGAAAAAATAGTTGCAATTACCATGGATAACACTACTACGAATAAAGCCGTAAGTCGGTTGCTCAAGAACGAGTTGCTGAATCCAGAATTAATATCAATAGGTTTGATTTTTTATTATCTATTTAATTTTTAATTAATAATAATAATTTTTTGATTTTTTTTTTTTTTTTAGGATGCATGTGTCACATCCTCAACCTTATAGTTAAAGAAGGCTTGAAGGAAATAAGCCAGTTGAAAGAGAAGGTTCATAAAATTATGAAATACTTATCTAATCCCTTATCTAGTGGTAGAATAGAAATATTAAGATCATACTGTCGAATTTCTGGAATAAAACCTTTGCAACCTATCCTTGAAATAGACACGCGTTGGAACTCTACGCTGGCTATGTTTGAGAGATATATTTATCTACATCCAGCCATTCGTGAGATGTGTTCAAAGGAATCCTCCATGCCCTCTTGTTTAGACAATGAAGAGTTTGCAGCACTTAAAGCCTTCTGTCAACTTCTCAAGCCATTTGAAAGCGCCACATTAATGCTTTCAAAAGAACAATCTAATTCAATTTCTGATGCGATTATGGTAATATTAGAGATTGGTCAACATATTAAAAAAGTTAGCACTAGAATAGGTTGCCATATGAAAAAAAAATTTGACAAATACTGGAACATAATTATCGATCATGTCATAATCGCACATGTACTTGATCCAAGATATAAGTTGGAGCATTTAGAAGCAACGTTAATTGAAGTTGGTGGATATAGTGAAAATGAAGTAGATCTGTTTGTTAATAATATTCGAAAAAAGATTATTTCTCACGGAACAAAATATACAAATACAGAACCTCCAAATATTGAAGTTCCTGAAACCGTTAATATTAATAATGAGTCTACATCCGATTTTTTATTTCCTAGAAGAATTTCAAAAAAAAGAAAATACAATGAAAACTCGATTGAATCCGAATTAGAATTATATGAAAACGAGTCACTTGAAGATTTCACAAATGACAATGAAAAAAAAGAAAATAATGGAATACTATTTTGGAAGTCGTTATCAAAAAGTTTTCCAATACTCAGTAAAATGGCACGCGATTATCTAAGTATTAAACCTTCAAGTGTCTCTAGTGAAAGGGCATTTTCAAGGGCGGGTTTTACGATCACTAATGATAGAGCAACTATCAGTGAAAAAACTGTTTCTAGCATGATACTTATGCATTCATGGCTCCTAGAAAGCCAAAATGAGTTTAGTCCTCTTAATGCTCTTCCTTAAATCCACATTTATGTATATATCGGTATTACGTACTTTAGTGTAACTATAATTCATCTAGTAATAATGTTGCACAATTATATGTACTTCAGCGTTACATTCATTATATAAATGTACAGTACTTCTGTACTTTCTTAAATAAAGTCACTATTAAAATTTGGTTGTTATCTAAATTTTAGAAATATGATATTTTTTTATGTTAAAACGAGGTAATTATAACTTCAAAAGTAAATTGTAGTAATTAGAAGTAATTAGCTTATTTTTAATAATATATTTCAGAGAATTGCATGCTATCTATTGAAGATTTAAAAGACAATTTTTTATGCGTGGGTTGAAATATCATAGTAACTTTAGAAGTAAGCTTGGTTATAAAAAGTTCGATTATTTAAGTAAATTTATTTAGCACTATATTAATTAATATATTGAAGAAAGTTTATTTTTATTATAGGCGATATAAAAAAGCATTTATTAATACTAAAAATTGAGTCAAATAATGCAGTTCATTAAGATATCGTTGAAAAACTTATAACGTAACGTGGAAAAACTTACTTGATGTAAAAATATGAAATCTCTCGTATACTTAACAACTAGTTTTTATCTAATGGAATTCAGGTGATGGCTTTTCATTATTTAATTCTGTTTATTTATCATTTATTAAATCATATGCTATGTGTAATGAACACTTAATCCTCTATTTATTCGAGTGATTCAATCTAGACTTTATTTTTTTAAAATTATGTTTACTAATTTGAGTTAGGGTTGTTAATAGGTTGGGTTTGAGTTGAGCGGTTCCGATCAACTCATTTCAAAGACACCACACTTCGCTGACAATCATTTTACCACAAGCTTATTTTAGACGATTAATTTACAGACAAATTCACCCTTTAGACAGTATATTTCACTAACAGCTTATTTTACAATGTAATCCTAGTCATTGTCGTTAAGGTTAGGTTTAGAATTAAGGTTAGTGCGATTTATAAAAACTTGCCAATGAATTGATACAGATTCGTCTCTAGTTTAGTAGAGTGGACCAGGACATAGTACTCCAATTAACGATTCAATCTTTAGGCATTTATGGAAAATTCTAATCCATCTTATGATATTGATAAGGGAATGTTCGTTCGACGAAAGAAGGTTGTGGAATTTTACTTTGGTGAGTTTTTTTTCCCTATTCCGAGCGAAGATCTGCACTAAATTGCTTTTTTATTTTTAATGTTTCACGAGCCTGTCTTTAAAATATGTATATACACTTTCGATTAATCGGTTTGACAATTTTCAATGCCCATTACGGCTTTAGCTATTTTTCTGGTCAGTTTAATAATGCTTTAGAATCTTTTTTTGTTATCTTTCTAGTCAATTTAATAATTCTTAGATTTCTTTCTTGTCAATTTTTTTTTTTTTTTTGTAGAGCTTTGGCGCTTCGTTAGTGTTCAATATTTCTTGTTCTTGCATTATGATTAACAATGTACAAAATGGATTCTTTTGGCATTTCTAAATGTATGTCAAATATTGGCTGGTAAGTAAAATACTCGTTTATTTTTATCAGGGATTATGCTGAAATTTGGCCGTATTTTATTATGAAATTGTAAAATTTTTTAGGGTCTTTTTTGTGGTATTTTTTTTATAGTCAGGTTTGGGTTAGGAGGTAGTTTTATTAATAAAAAGTATATGTGAATTTTAGTAGGTATTATATGATTAAATAGAGACCCCAAATTCAGCATAATCGATATTAGGGATGGGTTCGACTACGAACAGCTACAATTATTCATAGCCAATTTGCTAAATACTGAGATGATTTTTTGTTCTTGAGCTTTTAATTAAAGTTGTTCAGGATTAAATTCTGTTCATCCCATCTTATAAGTAGAAAGAACGATACCTTCTCTGGAACTCGGAATTTTAAGATTTGTTAACGTCATAGCCGACTATTAGCCGGCGGGATATGACGTTAACAAATCTTAAAATTCCGAGTTCCAGAGAAGGTATCGTTCTTTCTACTTATAAGATGGGATGAACAGAATTTAATCCTGAACAACTTTAATTAAAAGCTCAAGAACAAAAAATCATCTCAGTATTTAGCAAATTGGCTATGAATAATTATAGCCGTTCGTAATCGAACCCATCCCTAATCGGTATGTCAAAGATATTTGCCATTAACTAATATTTCTCAATTAACATAGTTCGTGAGTATATTTAACATAAGCTATCGAGTTGACGGTATTTTATTACACAACCTATTATTCACTTAGTTTGTATAAATATTTGAGTATAGGTTATACTGTATCAATCAACCGGGCCATGGCCATTACTACCCTGGTGACTCTGATCAAATATCCACTAAAAATAACTTAGTCAAATATTTTTAACTTCAAATCGTTAAAAATATTTTTTATTTAATTTTGTTCTAATTATGAGTATAAAGAATATTTAATAAAGAACATTCTTGGTTTAAATAAATAAGCTATTTACTATTTAATTTCATTATCGTTTAGTTTGTGAGGCCATTCATCTAAGTATTTAATAGTATGTTCAAATTCATGAATAATTATGCCCTATAAGAAAAGTAGTCCGGGTTGTGACTCGGGCTGGTTTCGGGAATGCACGGGTGTGTGGCACGTAGAGGCTCATTTTACGTGATGGCATGGCTAGTGTTGGCAGGCGAAACTTAGAGGTTTCGCCACAGACGAATGGCGAAACCTAGTTTCGACTTTCACCAAAAAAAAATCAAAATGGCGAAATGGCGAAAGGTGGCGAAACTGGCGAAACTGTGAAAGGTGGCGAAACTAAAAAAAGATAGCAAACTAGTGAAAGATAGTAAAATTAAAAAAAAAAGCAAGAATAACAAGGTAATTAAAGATAATTAAAACTTTTTTATGATTATTTTATATATACAATGAGGACTTAGTTAGGCATCGCATAGCGCGAAACTCTTATTAGCCAAACAAATTGATGCGCGATAAATAAGAGTATCGCGCTATGCGATGTACTAACATGGCTCAGTCTTTTCTAAAGTCTTAGAGGATTTTATCTTCGCTGAGTTCTGACTTTTCCCAGGGTTTCAACTTTACCGAGGTTTCGCCAGAGTTTCGCCGTTTCGTCAGAGTTTCGCCGTTTCGCCAGAGTTTCGCCTGGTTTCGTCTTTCGCCGGGTTTAGTTTCGTCTTTCGCCATTTGCCAAAAATAGTTTCGCCTGCCAACACTAGGCACGGCTAAAAATGACACGGACATTACGGCACGTTTTGTCACGTCATACGGGATGGCACGTATTGAATGATACGTATATGTACGTGTCTCAAGAGCGAAGGAACAGTAAATGTTTTTTTTTTAAAAAAAATGCAATATCTCAAAATTTCACCGATAAAATTGCTCTGGGTATCTTAATGAAAAAAACTCCTTGCAAAATTTTACACAAATGCAATTCTTTTAATTTTCAAATACGTACTATATTGATGATATTGTAAATTTATGTTTTAGTATGTATTATAGTGGTACGTAAATCCGGACTTGGTCCATGTCACCGAAACCCATGCCATTCCATGCCAACCCATACAATTACAGTACATTTTTCTTATCAATTTCTTTCATGAACACTATTTTATTTATTACCTCATCCAGGAGTATAATGTAAGTAAAGGTGCCTCAGCTTTCTACATTTTATGTTCATAAAGGGCAAAAATTTAAAATATACAATTGACTTTTGTCATCAAGCAAAAAAGGTTTCGTCTAACAACTATAGCCTGTACCCATGCCCATGCCCATGCCTATGCCTTTTGTTAGGCATGGGCAAGAGCCCAGTTTGCAGACCCCTAAAAAGAACATTGTCATTTCAGTTGACAAGGAGGTAGTTAATTTAACGGTTCTTATACTTCTGTCTGGATTGGGTGACCCGTAAGTTTCAGCATAATTTAGCTTTACCATTTCCTTTACTTCCTGATCAATATTCATTTTTGTCTTTCATTAGGGTAATCAGTCAGTCCTTTGGTGGCTAGATGCCTTTTTTACATTCCTTAAATATTTTTCACTTATCCCCAATATGTTCAAGTAAGTTTCTTGGCAGATAGTGAGTATACTGTTTAATATGCTATATATTATAATAACAATAAGCTTGTACTGATATTTTATATATTCTAGAATATTATAGAGTTATGCTATTAGAGAGTAAACAAAATCTCGGGTTAAGATAATAAATGTATAAGTAAGTGTTATTATTTCATTATTTACATAGGCTAAGGATCATGTTGCGTCTTTAATAAAGGCACTATAACTAAAATAAGTTAGAATTATTTTAATTACTTTTCGAAATATATATAATAAATAAAAAATAAAAACAGACAGCTTCGTTAATAATTTATTCACATTGAATCTTTGATTTATTTGAGCTTGGGTTTATTAATAATAAATATCAATTTATACATTGCTTATCTATTTCTAAAAACGTGACAAATTCTTTTTTGCGTACATTTATCGTTATTCGTTTATAAGCTTCTTTAGGTGAAGTTCTTTTCGTTTTCTAGTAGTACAGTAGTATATTAAAACGATAAATATTTTTAAAAATTATGCACTTTGATTGCTAATTATCACAGAAAATCACGTAGATGCAAGGGCTTCACATTAGCTTCGCATACTCGTTGTTAGAAACTATTTCGACTAGAGCTTGACCCGGGTCAAAGCTCATATTATTTATACGGCATATGGCATCTATACTACTTACGGCATTTATACTACTTACGGCATTTATATGGCATACGGCACTTCTACTTATACGGCAAATGTGTCGTATCGCCGTAATTTTTTTACCGGGGTAGTTACCTTCAAGATTTTAAATGTCTGCATCATTAAGTCTATACCATGTCTATGCTATACCTATGCCCGTGCTCAAATTTTTGTGTCTATGCCCATGCCTGTGCCAAATTTTTGTGCCCATACCCATGCCCGTGCCAAATTTTTGTGCCTATGCCCATGCCCATGCCAAATTTTTGTGCCCATGCCCATGCCCATGCCAAATTT